TGAAACAGCCAAGCCATGGCTCCACTCCTGCTGCTGTACCTGAGCGTTGGCTGCTCTGTGGCCCACGGACGCACGTGCATGTCGGCCCAGTTTAAAAAGCCGGGTGATTATCTCCTGGGAGGCTTATTCCCATTTGGAATGAACGCCGTGAACCTGAGCACACGGATTGAGCCCAACGTGGTCGTGTGTGAAAGGTAAGAAGGGATCTGCCTAATCGGTACTGAGGGCCTTTGGTCGCCCCAGCGGGGAGGAAAAGCAGAAGAGTCTTTTATGCAGCAAACACTCCGATGCCTTAGTCCCAGAGGGTGACATGCAAGGCATGTTGGGAAGAAGAGAGCGCTCTTTACCGGGTGTGACAGGGTGCCAAGGGCATTACTATGGGGGTGGCGGCTGTTGGGATGGGAAATCGCCAGAACTCTCTTGCTGAGATTATTCACTATTCCATTATATGCCTCTGCCCCGTGCCCATCTGGATCATAAATGCGAATGGGGCTGGCCCGTCTGGCTGTTAACATGGAAAGGAGTCTTTTGGGTCTGGCAAAATAGGGTTTCCCTATTTTGTGGTTTAAGACAGGGCTGTAAATATGGCCTGTGCTCTGACAGATCAGGAAGGTTTCTTACCTCTTTTGTTGCCCTGTGGGAAGCTCTCTAGGCCAGCTGGGGGAAGCTGCTCACAAATAAGGAGAAGATGATCCTGGTGGGGGGATGAGCACCCTCCACGCTCAGCAAATGCAACCAGAGCAGAGGATGCGCAGCACCTTGCGTGACTGGACCCCGGGCTCCTCAGCGTTCCCATCCTTATTCAGCAAAGCACTGAACGTCAAGAGGGTTCAAGTTACAGAGAACTCACCATTGACATGCGTTTAAACCGGCAAGCGAACCATTCCCTGTGCCACAGAGGAAGGCAAAACAAAGAAATCCCCAGGATCTCTGCCAATCTGACTGGGGAAGGGGGGGAGGAGGGGAATTCCTTCCTGCCCCCAAATCAGGCACAATCACTTAGACCCGGAGCATGTGGGCAAGACCCACCAACCAGACACCTTCACTCTAAGTGCAGGCATTGAACTCAATAGGAGGCAACAACGTGCTTCTGGGCTTTGAGGAGTCGGAGCCTACGGGAAGAAAGGCATAGCTGGAAAGTGAGGGGACCTTTCCTTGGCCAGTACCAGCTCTGGTAAAGTCTCAGAACACAGAGGCAAGCCAGGCGTTTGTGGAATGGGTCCCATGTTGATAAGAGACCACAAACCCCGGTGACACATTTGGAGAAGACTGCACAAGTCCACGTGCCGAGTCACGAGCAGACTTGGGAGCAGTTCGTTGATTCGGGTGGGAGTCACGTGCATCTCAGCAGCGTTGCTAGTTTGGGGGGAAATCTGGCCCTTCTGGATTATCGTTTGCTTTGAGTCACCTCCCAGGAAAAGCCAGCCCCAGAGGAAGCAAACCTCCCCTGGCACACACATGGGCAGGGGGGACTCTATACACCAGAGGTGGGCAAGATACGACCCACGGGCTGCATCTGGCCCGCCAAGCTGTTTGATCCATCCCCGGCTGGCCCTGTTGCTCCTCCATCTCCAGGCCAATCGAGACCCAGGGGTGGGGGTGCATGTGAAGTCATTCGCTGTTCAAAATGGCTGGCAGCTCCCTCCCCACGCCAGGGGCGCACAGTGCCTAGAGACCCACCAGACAAATTTGAACTGCAAATGATTTTGCACACTCCCCCACCCCAGAGACTGATTGGCCTGGGGAACACGCAAAGTCTCCCCCCCATTGGGGGTGAACAGAGCCTAGAGGGAACTGCCTCTTCTGCCCAAGGCCCCGCCCCTTCTGGGGGGGCCATAGCCGGCCCGTGATCACGAACCAAAGTTTGTGAAGTGGCCCCCCTGCAAATATGATTGCCCATCCCTGCCGTACACCGACCCCAAACAGCAAATCGGATCCTCCTCCCACAGTGCACAGTCACACAAGATGTTGTATTACTCTGCAGCTGTCCGTTGCAGGCAGAGCTACAGAATTCCCTTGTTTTGCACTAGCTCTTACCAGTGTACTTGCAATTGATAGTTCTTGGTCAGTTGCACCAAATTAGTCATATTTACAAGGACTATTTGGGCTACCACAAAAACTCATTAGCCCACATTGGCAGTATGTGCACACACTTCCATTTGCAGGGAGCGGAAAGGGGACCCTTGTGTCCCATTCGCTGTCTGACCTCTGCAAAGCACAGCCCTGAAGTCAATAGCACACTCCACATGAAACAACATGGGCCGGTGGTTAACACCTAGGGAGTTGAGGACACGGGGTTTGAATCCCATCTCTGCCACACACACCTCCCTGCGTGACACAGGGTGAATCAATTCCCCTCTGTACTTCAGTGTCCTCACCTGTGAAATGCAGCCCATATATTTACCTATCACCGAATGGGGCTGCAAAGCAAGATTCACTGGTGCTCGGAGATCTTCAGGCAGACTGTGCAGAGTCCTACAAAGGTCCAGGCTACAGTCAAGCGTCTCTGATAATTGTCACTTCCCAGAGGACATGGCTTTGCTAGAGGTAGGCTCAACTGTCCCGTTCAGCACAACGCATGGCTGCTGAAAGAGTAAAGAGCATAGAATAAATTCATCTCCAGCAAAACTGCCCTGATCCATTTGGCTTCATGCTGTTCTAGGTCACTGCTTTGCGGTTTGCCCTACCTGCAGGTTATATGCTACCGGCCTGGTATGGGCTCTCGGGATGAAGTTTGCCATTGATCAGATCAACAACTCCACGTCGCTCCTCCCGGGAATAAAACTGGGCTATGAAATCTACGACAGCTGCTTGGAGCCAGTGGTGGTCATACAGCCCAGCTTATTATTCCTGACCAAGGAGGGCAGCACGGGGATCGATGTGCTGTGCAACTACACCGACTACCAGACCCGAGTAACAGCCGTGATTGGGCCTTACGTGTCAGACCTCGCGCTGATTACAGCTAAGCTCTTCAGCTTCTTTCTCATCCCACAGGTATGTCTCTGGAGAAAGATGGCTTTGGCATTATAGGGCTCGGGGCCAATGATGAGAGGAAGTGTTCTCTAGGGCAGTGTTTCTCAACTTTTTTTTTTAAAGTACTCCTTTAAAAAAAAAAATCTAAGTACCCCCAGTACCTACAGTTTTCAGACACACAATTTTTTTCTACCATTGCAACATATTTGTTTAAACAACATGATTGTAGCAGGGAGGGCGATGAAATTTTTGGGTGTAAAAAGTACAAAAATAATAAAACGCTGTAAAACTTGAAACAAAAATTCAGTTTTCTCCAGATTTCAGTGGTGTTGACGTACCCCCCAGACTTCTCTCCAGTACCCCTAAGGGTACTCATATCACTGGTTGAGAAACACTGGTCTAGTGGTTAGAGCAGTGAGGGACAACCTAGGCTAGTGAGTAGGCCACATCAGTGGCTCCCCCCCCTCTCAGTGGGCTTGCAAGATTGTCGGAACCGAGACGGTCTCCAGGGCAGGGCAGTTCTGCTCACTGCACTTGCGGGCCTAGAATTTGCGATGGAACGGTAGCAGCAGAGGGACCCACCTCACTTCCCGTGCCTTTGCTTTACGTGCGTGTTCTCACGGCTCATGGGTTGTGCTCACACTCAGCCCCTCGGTCCCCGGGTGGAACCCCCCTCTCAGTGCGGCAGCCCCTTCTCGGGAAGCCCACTCTGGCACAGCGGCAGTGAGATGGCCCTTTCGCAGGGAGTCCACTCCAGTGCGGCGACCCTCTCTTGGGGGGCCCACTCACACCTGGGGGGGTCTGCCTCTCTGCCTCCGAGACGGTGCCTCTCAGGGCCTTCAGCACACCTGCCTCTGCTGTGAGCCCCATCAGGGGATCCACTCCCTCTGGACTCCCAGGGCCTCCATTCCCAGAGCAGACCCTGTTCTCCAGACCAGAGCAACTCTCAGTCACGGGGTCCACTCCCTCTGGAGCCCCGGGGCCTCCACTCCCAGAGGGAATAGTGCAGCCCTGTTCTCAGCCCAGAGCGACTCTCAGCCAGCACCAAACAGGAGGGTTTATTGAGCTTTGAACGCAGCAAAGGATCCCTCAGGCCGGTGGGCCTGGCCTCCCTCAGCCCCGCATGTCTGAGTCCCCCCTGCAGCCAGGTTAGCCCTGCCTGCTTTGCTCCCTGTCCCGATCAGAAAAAGGTCTTCCAGCAGAGCCTCCAACATCCCTCAGCGACAGCCCCTCCCTTGTCCAGTGTCTTCTCTCCAGGTAGTCAGGGTCGCCTGGACCCCTCCCTTCTCCATCCATTGTTCTCGCCTTGCTGGAACCAGCTGGGTCGAGGTCTCCCCTCAGCAGCGCATTGTCTGTCATGTGGCGGGAACCCTTGTGTCCTCTGGGCGGGGTCGGCCGGTCACCAGGGCACCAGACGTCAGGGCTCCCGTTCTGTGCTGTTCTCTGCAACAACAAACTCCCTCTCCCCTGGTCACATGAAACCAGTAACATCCCGGGTACTGAGTGCCCCCCTCTGCATGAAACCCCCTTTCAGCCCCCAAAACTCCCCACTTCCTCACACGTCACTTCATTAACACCAGCAGGGAAAAAACTACGTGGACAAAAACCAGCAGAATCTGGCAGCCCTGCGCATGGACAATGGTAAACAAAATGTCTCAAGGGCCACAGGTAGTACCCCAAAGGGCCGTATGCAGCCCTCAGGCTGTAGGTCGCCCACCACTGGGTTAGACCTTTCGCCTGGGCCTTGGGAGATCTGGATTCACTCCCTGATACACACACCCACCCACCTTAGCCTCTGTGCCCCTCATTTATTTGCTTCCCCGGCAGGGGGAGGGGATAACTACACTGACCGTGCGGGGCTCAGACACTGCGCTGAGGGAGGCCTACGGACCGGTTGGGTTTTCTTGAGGCCACGCAAGCTCCCAGGCAGGAGCCGGCAGAGAGCTCTGGAGAATGAAGCCCCCTTGCTGTGTGAGTTGCTGCTGTGGCTCTAATAAGTCTAAATCAGGGCTACTCAACGCTTGGCCCGTTTGTTTGCAGCCCGTGGTGTGGTTTGGATTTACGTGGGGCTTAACATGTGGGAGCCAAAACAAAAAGGAGTCAATACAATGGTCTTCTGTTGATAGGCGTTTTAGCAGTTACATTCCTAGAAGTGCTGTCACACGAGTGGAAAGCAGGTAACTATTGCATTTGATTAACATCAGCAGAACTGACTTCAATGGGGCCTGCATGCTGTGCAGTCTTGCCTTAATCTTTGTATTCATGCCCATCAGTGTGAAAGAAGCTATTTGCATATATTTGCATGTCTATGCAACCACACTTCAGTTGCAGCCCTCGGCACGTGCTGTGAGTATCATTGTGGCCCCCGGAACTTCCAAAGTTGAGTAGCCCTGCTCTAAATGCTGCTCTCTGGGTAGCATTTGGGCACAGCCTGGGAGGTGCTGAGCACCCTAGATTCTTATCAGTATCAGAGAACTTTCTGGCTGGTGAGTCTTGCCCACATGCTCAGGGTTTAGCTGATTGCCATATTTGGGGTCGGGAAGGAATTTTCCTCCAGGGTAGACTGGCAGAGGCCCTGGAGGTTTTTCGCCTTCCTCTGTAGCATGGGGCACAGATCACAGCTGGAGGATTCTCTGCATCTTGGGGTCTTCAAAGTATTTCAAGGCTTCAATATCTGAGATATAGGCGAGAGGATTATTCTAGGAGGGGTGGGTGAGATTCTGTGGCCTGCACTGTGCAGGGGGTCAGACTAGATGATCATAATGGTCCCTTCTGACCTTAAAGTCTACGAGTCTATGAGTCCAGGGGGCTCAGCAGCCCCTCCCCCGGACCGCTACAGGGCAGATCAGTTTCTTGTTCATAAATCCCTGTTAAACAGGGGGCCGGATGCCAATGCAGAGCAAGCGAGGAGATGACCAGAGGGGGCAGTTTATAGACCAGGGAGTCACCGGGGGGGACTGCAGACATCAGAATGAAAACCAAATCTGCTCTGGGGATGGGGAACCTCCGCCCCCCCCAACAATTCAATGCAGCCCCGGCGGAGGGGGGGGGTGTCTAATGCAAAGCTGCGGG